CAAAGACAGCTAGTCTTTTCATGTCTTCCACTCTCAGTGGCCAGGTCTCACTAGCAGCCATAAAGGAGGACGGAGCGGACTGATGAGCAGTACACCCGCCCTTTTGTCGATAGTCGAACATCTCGTCTACGCCAGAGTCGACGTAAACTGGCAAATGCGAAGCGAGCCCCCTGTATTCGTGCTGAGATTTCGTCAGAGATCAGCCCGTTGGGGCTGATGGTACTTCCCAAATAAGTGAAGCGATCAACGTGTTCTACCACTTCACTTCCTATTTTTAAACTAGGCGTCGATGTAGTCCAGTCCTGTAACATCATCTTGCATTTGGCGGGAGCGAATCGCATGCCAAACATTCGTAGATTGCGGCTCAAGGTGTTTAGAAGACTCTGTATTTCGTCAGCGTCTTCGCCTAGAAGGACTATATCGTCTGCATATTCCAAGTCAACGAGATTATTCCCCGGTAGCAAGTCAATCCCTGAGTCGCTGAAGTCACTTAGGGTTAAGTCCATTAACACATTTATGATGAAGTTGCCTAGTGTTCCCTATCGCCGATGCTTTTTCCATCTCTTTCGCCTTTGTCACCCACCACTGTTCACGGTCCTTGCGGAGACTTTTCGTAAGTTTCCTTTTGTGCAGCTTTCGCTCCTCATTGAATTCGGAGCTCGCCGGGATAAGTCTTCTAGCATCTATCAGTTCGGATGAGGCGGTAGAGATCCAATGGTTTTTACTCACCTTTGGATTTACCTTATTCACAGCTTTTACAGCTGTATCTATAGCTGACTGAATATTCTTCCAGGCTTCTTCAGGGTGAGCACAGCTGTCAAACTCAGATATGCGTTTAGCTAGTTCTTCCTCAAATAGGGATTTAATTTCCTGATCGAGCTGGGGACGTGATGGGTTTACCGCCAGCTGTTTCCTACGTCCGTTTAGTCGTAAGCACACACGAGCCCGGACCAGTGCGTGATCGGTATCTACACACGTGTTCCAGAAGGAGCGACAATCTCCTACCGACCCACGCCAACGATAGCTTACTGCTATGTGGTCTATTTGTGTCCAGCGTTGGTTTGATGATGGGGGTCGCCAGGTCAAACAGTGTCTCTCCTTGTGTTTGAAGTTAGTGCTTAAAAGAAACAAATGATTATCTGAACAGAACTGTAGGATTCAGTCACCGTTGTCGGTTCACTGGCGCGGAACTCCATAGGTGCCACCGACACCCTTCTCAGATTGACACAATTTCCCTACTTGAGCATTAAAGTCACCAGCTAGAACGACTATATCTGAGCGTCCGGCCTTTCGCAGCAAACCAGACAGCTTTTGATAGAACTCATCTTTCGTTTCATCTGAACTGCAGTCAGTGGGGGCGTAGGCGGAGATTACGAAAAGGCATCGGCGAGTAGTGCAGTCCTTTCTCCTTTTTACTGAACCGTTCAGACGGAAAGCACACATTCGGCTATCTACCGGGATCCAGTCAAGCAATGTTTTTTCTGCCCTAGTACTCAAAGCTATCCCTACGCCAGCTAATCCTCGTGAACTGGCTGTGTCATCTCCTGACACCCTCAAGGTGAATTTTGCAGATTCAACCTGTTGGCCAGGTGGGGTTAGGTGAATAACCACACTTGGGTCTTGTATGCGTGTTTCTGAAACACAACATACATCAATGGCTCGGGATGCCAGAGTCTTGGTTAGTGATGCTTGTTGTCCTATTTGGTAAAGTGTCCTAACATTAAATGCTCCTATATGAAATTGGTGGCGTGGCTTTAGGAGACTATCGGTAGTTTTTTGGCTTCCGTTGTTTTTAGTGGACACAGAGTGAAGAGGGAGTGTGGAGCCATCAAGTAGAGGAGTTGTATCAGTGGGAGGAAGACAAGGCAATGGAGATGAAGACAAAGATAAGTGAGGATTAGAGAGGTTTTGTGTGCATTTCGGATTGTGAGGGCGTTTGTTACTTCCCGGCTGCCCACACCGTGGAAGTTGGTTGCGTGACCGCAGAGCCCAGGGGACAACTGCTTGAGGCCGGTCACACGCGACCTGATTTTGTTTGTTCTTTATTGTTTGGTGTGTCTCAATAGCATGTTTATCACTTCTACCCTGTGACACGACAGCAGGAAGCGCGGTCGTTGTTAATCCGGGTCATGGCCGATCCGGCATGATATTTTGTGAATTTGTTTGAATAATGGTATTGGATGGGGTAGCTGCTTTTCGTTTAACCGCTATCCAAACAACCTGCCTGGCATGGTAGAACCTCAAGAGACATAAGTCTCAGCCAGTATAGCTTGATTAGGTCATTGCGGTGTTCAAGCCCGACCAACACGTCAAGGTAGCAGCTTTCGGTCGGGGACTGCCCCTGTTTTACTAGTTTGACCTATGTATTTGACCTGACAATCCACAGGATCCTTTAACTGACAAAGCTTGTTTCTAATTGAGTTTGTGGGTTTGAATGCCACTTTTATTCATGCCTTGTTAAGAATTCTGAGTAAGGCTTCCGAGGTTCCTTCCTTGTATGGAATTACTGTTGATGATTTACATTCCTTATTGTTGGTGTCGTCATTAATATTATTATTATCACTATCGCTATTATTATTATTTATTTTATTTTTTTACATTTATTTACATATTTCTTGACTAATTTATTATTATTATTTATTAAGTTTCAAGGCTCCTTTTATGTGTCTCACTTCCTGTCTTAGATTTTCCTTAGTACTACATAGTTTTTGTGCTCTGTCACTGAAACATTTTACCAATCCTATTTTTACTGACATAGGATGGGATGATCGGAAATCGAAATATCTGTTTGAATGAGTGGGTTTTCTGTAAACACTAGTCTTTAACTTCCCATATTCTTTCCTTTTTACGTTGCAATCTAACATTGGAAATTCCCCTTCCTGACTTTCCAATTCATAAGTGATTTGGATTGCCTCTACCTTCGAGTTGATGTGTTCGAAAAATCTATCCATATCTTGTGTTCTAAGTACAGTGAATGTGTCATCTACATACATCCACCATACTTTTGGGGTGGGGGTGAACGTTTCAATCGCTATCTTCCCACCTATCCATGAATATATCTGCTACAACCGGGGATATTGGTGATCCCATGGCAACCCCCTCAGTTTGTTTGTATATTTTCCCTTGGAATTTAAATACTGTAGAAGTCAGGCAAAGCTGCACTCCCAGTATTATGTCCTAAAGTGGCACTTTTGTCCTAAGTTCGAGTTCTTGGTCAGAAATGAGTTCGTTTCTGACTGCCTCTATAGCCATATTTATTGGTATACGTGTATATAAACTAACCATTTTTTCTTCATTATCTAATTTTAAATTATCTAATCTGTGTTTTAGTTCATAAAAATTAGTCTAGATTTCGAGTGGATTTTTAGGGGATTTAATACCATGGCTAAATATTTAGATAATTCATAAGTAGGTGAATTTCTAAAATCAACTATAGGTCTAATAGGGTATCCTGACTTATGAACTTTAACAACACCATACATCCTACTGGGGTTATTAGTTTTGTGCATTTAATGCCAAAAACTCCAGCTGGACCTACAAGATCCTTGGAACTGGGCGATAGTCCGATCCCACATCTGCTTCTCTTCTCTACTTTGTGTCCAGCAGGCTGACTGAGTCTCCACTTCCTTCAGCATCATTCAGATGAAATCTGTTTGGCTTGTTGTGTGTTCGTCATGGGAAATCCATGTCACTGGCCTTGTGTATATCCTTGTGCTCGAACACGCTCCCTCCGATCACCAAATCGTTGAGAGATCAGAAGCCGGCGAATAATTCTCCGTTCTTATTCATATCGCCGAGCCAGAGCCTCTCGACCCATGATGAGTCCTCTTCCCGCATTATCTGCTCCCAGTTTGGCTGCCATTCATATCGCTCATGAGGATTCTGATGTTACTGTTTGTAGTTGTCTGTAAAAATCCTCCTTCTCCTCTTGTCCCGCGTTGTTTGTAGCCGTATGCGTAGCACTGGATTATTGTGACCTCCCTTCCAGCCGTTGGAGTTGAATCTTGCTGTCCTGACCGTGGACGAGATGGTTGCTTCTCACTGCATTAGGTGTCTGGCTCCCACTGGTGACATCGTGATAGCCACTCACTCACTGCCTCAGTGTGTTCGTGTTAGTCGTCTGGGTGATCAGAGAGGAGAAGATTACTGACTTTCCAGTTGACAGTGTTGTCAATCCCCATTTATTCCATCTGCTTTCGCCGATACCCAGTACTTCTAAGCCATAACTTTGCATTTCTTTGGCTACCTGGGCAGCCTTCCCGGCCAGCCTCGTACATTGTGCGGACATTCCACGTCCTCATTCTCACTCTTGCTTTCATCGATAGAAGAAATATCGGCTGGCTGACTGGCTTCTCGAAAGCTTTCACCAGCCCGCTGTGTCATATCGCCTCCGAATTGAGTGAAGAAAAGATCGTTATTTGAAGTTTTTATATTTTCAATATATTTTCTGTGTTGTGGTTTCTCTAGCTGTTTGATAGGTTTAGTGGTGTGAGGTTGCTAGTTCCACCCCCAACCCTCTCTTTTTACTCGGGCTTGGGACCGGCTAGAAAACTAGCAAGCTATTTAACCAGGTGAGGTTGTTGGGAGTGGTATTCCTTCCAAATCATGAGATGACGCTTGTGTCCGCAATGCCCATGGTTGCGTACTTTGCTACGTCGTTTCGGGGGGCATCCATTTATTTGGACTAATCTAATGACATTTCGCTGTTATCCTTAAGGACTTCAAATTTCCAGGTCATTATGTAGAGAACCTTAGGATATTCGGTGGGCACAGATAATTCATTGACAGAGGATATGTAAGGGTAGTCTAATACGATGTACTGTGGCACTCTATTACGTACCATTGTGCAGGAGGGTTTTAAATATAGTTAGGGTATATTATTTAATGGCCATTCTATGTTGTTGTTTAGTCGAACTATTAATATTTTAGTTTGAAAGAGGTTAGTCGCACTCAATTGCCTTAAGCGTTCAAAATAACAAAAAATTTTTTTCAATTTGTAGCTTGTCAAAAGTAGACATGATGTCAAATGTAACAGCTAACTCCATTACACTGAAAGGCTCGGCTAACCTTTTGGCTGATTACTTTTGTAAGTCGTAAAATTTCCGTATTCATCAGTTTTCCTTTAGTTTATGCCTTGAACAGTATTCTCTATCAACGTGGAATATACCCAGAGGCTTCATTTAAACAAAATACAAAATATGATATCACCGTCCTCACTACAACAGATGAAACACTTCTTAGCTATATGCATGTTGTACTGGGTCAAGTAAGAAGTAAGCTTTATTAAATAGAATTAAACTTTGTCAAAAGCTTGGCTAAGTGATGGTAGAGTATATCGCCTTGCTCTATTAATCAAAGAAGTTAAAACTGAAGAAGTACTAGAAAGATGGCAGTTCAATTTGACCACTGAAGATACAGATTCCAGGTAGGTATGAGACCTTTTTTGTTTCCATATTTTGTCGTTTTCAGTAGTCCGAATGGGTCAAAGCCGTTAGCTAATATACAACGTGAAATTCAAAATGTCATTCGTCAAATTGTTGCTTCGAATACTTTCCTACCGGTAATCGATACCATATGTAAGTTTTGGATTTTTGTCTCCATATTGTTACCACCCATATATAACCCGTATCATATCTGTATAAGTCTAAGCTATAGAATGAATGAATAGAACATTGTTATGTATATTACATAATAAATTACGTTTGAATTACCACGTTTGTAGGAGTTGATGAAATGGGGAATTTGACACAAAAAGATAAAAGAAAAACAACAACTAGAATTATGTAAGATATTAGCATTCACAAAACCGAATTGAGTATAAAAAAAAGAAACAAGAAAGCGCGTTTATTTTTCAACCGATATCTGATCATATCGTTTAAGTTAAGCAAACTTGTTATTTGATTTTACTAAACGTTCAGAAATATAAAGTGTTGAACTTTGTGAAGAATAAAGAAACGAAAGCTTTCGCCCTATCGTACTCTTATGATAAGTCTGTTTAAAAAGTTGGTTTAGTGAAAAAACAAAACACAACTTCATTTCTGTAACTCCTTTAAGTTTTATTTCGTTACCCCATTATGAATAAGATTTTATTTTGATAAATTACACAGTGTTGTACAGTAATATTAACTGATGACATTTCGAGCCAAAACTATTGCCCATAATCATATCAAGTTACTCACACAACTTATTTCCTTCATTTATATACATATGTGGAATCGATTAGATATTGAGATAGTGTACATTCAGAAATAATAATACGGTGTTATTGATCAATTACAATCAGATGGGAAATAAGACGAGTGTTTTTATAGTCATAATAAGTAACTTGCTAGGATGTTGTGATGTGCTTGAATTGAAATAGAATTTTGAGCTTATTTATTATCCTCTTCTGATTTGACCGGCGGTAATAATATCTTCCATATTTCTGGTATTTGCATTGAGTCATTTCTGTTGCATGTGTTGGGTGTGGACTCGATGAACAAGGATTCAGTAATCAACCTCTCTCTCCACCTATCTAGATTACTTTTTAGAATTTCAACCCTCTCCCACTCATCCTATTGTGTGATTGTGTGTTAATGCATGCATTGCAATTGCTGAGCTTTCTTTTAAATTACTTATCTTCTCGGGGTCAACCATTCTTACTTTAGCTAAATCGTTAAGTTCTGACAATCTGACTACCCCTGACCTACTAGTATGACCTATGTAGTTGACCCTACCCACAGTCATTGCAGAGTATTTTGTGAATTATATTATTTTGTCTAATTGGGTCAACTGACAGTGTCCTTTAGCCTACAGAGCTTGTCACTGACTGAGTTTGTAGGTTTGAATGACACCCTAATTCCTGCTTTATTTAGAATCCTACGTAGGGTTTCAGATGTCCTTTCCTTATATGGTATAACAGTGGGTGACTTATATTCTCTCTTATTTATGTTATTATTACTAGTTCCACAATTATTTTTATTTTGTTTTTGGCCTTTACTATTCTTCCTAATGAATTTTATAGGACAGTTATTCAACACCAACGCTACTTCCATCTGTTTTATTTCATCATCTAGGTCTTTTTTTTGTGCTACTTAGTGCTATGGCTTGGTTTGTTAGACACTTAACTAAGCCTGCCTTAACAGTTAAAGGATGAGACGAATTAAAGTCTGAATATCTATTAGAATGCGTTGGTTTTCTGTAAACACTAGTGTGTAGTTTGCCTTCTTCTATTCGTTTTATCTTACAACCTAACATAACTAATTCTCCTTGTTCATTTTCTGATTCAAATGTGAATTTTATACCCTTCACTAGTGAGTTTATATGAGTCAAGAACCATGAGATATGTTCTGTTTTTAACACTGTGAGTGAAGGTGTTATCCACATATCTCCACTATATTTTTGGAGTAGGATTAAATGTGTTGAGGGCAATATTTTCCCAGCTGTGTATAAATATGTCTACTACGATAGGGGATATTGGTGATCCCATTGCTACACCTTCTATTTGTCTATATATTTTGCCTTGGAACTTGAAGATAGTAGATGTGAGGCATAACTGATTCCCTAAAATAATTTCTTCAATGGGCAGCTTTGTCCTATGACTGAGTTCAGGATCCGCAGTTAGTTCTTTTTTAACTGCTTCTAAGGCCAAATTGACTGGTATATTAGTATAAAGACTAGTTATTATTATTAAATCCTTTAGTTCCTAGAGGAACATAGGGCTTCAGCCGCGCGTCTCCATTGCTTTCGGTTTTCTGCCTACGTGTTCACTCCGCTCCAAGTCTGCCCACATACTTTCATCTCCTCTTCACATGACCTCCTACAAGTTACTGTTGCGCTGACGACCAACTCGCCGCTTCCCTTTCGGGTTCCACTCGAGCGATAGCTTGTCTAGTGATGTCACTTGATGGTTTCCTCAGAGTATGGCGAATCCATCTCCATTTCTTCCTGCTTATTTGTTTCACAGTCGGTTCCTGATTGATTCGCTGATTGCCAGAGATCCCTGTTGCTGATCTTTTCTGGCTGGCCATCTGATCTTGAGTATTGAGCGAAGACACCTGTTAATGAAGGTCTGAAGTTTGTTTAAGATGCTCTTTATGACGCGCAGTGCAAGTCTCTGATCCGTATAGTAGCGCTGACTGACTTCACATTGGAGTTGAAAATCCGGATCTTATTTTTGATTATGAGTGATGTTGACCTCCACACAGACTTAAGAGTAATGAAAGCCTGTCTTGTTTTTCCGATTCTGGCTTTGATGTGTTCGTCAGTTCCGCCTGTAGTTGAAACGATGCTTCCCAGGAGGTTGTTTCTTTCAGGTTCCTCCTATTTATGCTTGCTGAATGTTGTCTGTTATTGTTGGTGTTGCCGTTGGTGTTGGTCAGGAATCTTCATCACCTCTGTTTTATCTATGTTTACTTGGAGTCCTATCTTTGATGCTTCTTCTGCCAGCTTGTTGTGTTTCACTTGCATATCTTCCAGTCTGTGAGAAATCAAACATATACATGTCATCGGTGAAGTCCCCATCCTCCAAGTTTTTTGTGTGAGCTCATTTTATGCCTGTTTCCTCATTGCCCGTTGTCACTCGCATTATCCAATCTACTGCAATCAGGAAAATCATTGGAGGTAGTAGACAGCCTTGCATCACTCCCGTCCTCATTTCGAAGGATTCCGTAAGTTTCCCGTTGTGGATTACTTGGCATGCAGCATTGTCGTATAACTGTTGGATGAGATGTATAGTTGTCGATGGGACCCCGTAGTAGCGAAGTAGTTGCCAAGTCACCTCTCGATCGGCACTGTCGAAGGCCTTTTCACAGTCAATGGAGTTGAGATAGAGAGCTGACTGACTGCCATTCCAAGCTTTGTCCAATGATGGTCCATAGTGTGGCGATTTGATCAGTACATGACTTGTTTCTCCTGAATCCAGCTTGTTCCGGTCTAAGTTTTGCATCCAAGGCTTGTTTGATTCTCTCCAGGATGATGCGGCTTAGTATTTTGCTTGGGATGGCCAGGAGCATAATTCCGCACCAGTTTTTGCATTGATTTAAGTCTCCTTTATTTGGTAGTTTGAATAAGTATCCTTTCTTCCAATCTGGTCGATTTAGAAGTCTTTTGAAGTGTTCAGCCCAGTGTTTTCTCTGTTCCACCTCTTTGGTGATTGACTTTCCATTGTCGTCCTTTATTGGCTTAGTCTGTGTCGAACTTTTGCCCGAAAGGTTCCTAGTTGTTTGGTAGAGTGTGGCGAGGTCTCCTTTGCCTGCAGCTTGTTCTGCTTCACTTGACATGGCTTCATAATATTTTCTTTTGTCTTCCATGGTACTCTTCTTTACTCTTTTGTTCAGTGTATTGTAGCTTGCGTTCAACTCCTGTTTTTGTTGCTCGTCGGTGCACTGGATAATCTTTTGTCTCACCATCCTTCTCTCTTCTATTAGTTTCCAAGTGTCCGTAGTGAGCCACTGTTTGTCCTGCCTCTCCTGTCTTCTTTCTGCCCAGAACTTCCATGCAGGTTTGACTCCACACCGTTTTCAAGTTGTCCCAGTGCTTTTCGACGCTGACCTCTTCGCTAGTGTTGATTTGTGTCTCAACTTTGTCCCTTATGTTTGCAATGAAGATGTCCTTTGTAGCCTGGTCCTTCAGGTTTTGAGTGTTGAACTGGGCTTGTGGCCTGTCTGCAGCTCCTCCTTCTCTGAAAGCTTTTAGTTGGATTTGGATTGTCCCTTGTACGAGATAGTGGTCTGAGCCAACATCTGCTCCTCTTCTTACTTTTGTGTCCAGTAGGCTGCGCCTCCACCTCCTTGAGATTGAGATGAAGTCAATTTGGTTTTTGGTTTGCCCATCTGGTGACTAGTTATATTAAAACTAACCCTTGTTTCATCATTCGCTAGTTGAATGTCATTTAGTTTATTTTTCATCTCATATGAATTAGTTAGTTTAGAGTTTGAGCGATTTCTAATGGGGCATAATATTAGAGCTAAGTGTTTTGATAATTCATAAGTGGAGGTGTTTCCGAAATCTACTATTGGTCGTTATATGCATATCCTTAACAAACAAACAGCATTAATGTGTTATCAAAATAAACGTGAGTTATCAAGATCAATAGATCTGGGAGTACTGGACAGCTGTTTCGTCCTAGTTTGGAACTCTTCATCAATACGCACCCACCGGGGTTCGAACCCAGGACTTTCTGGTTACAAGGCGATTTCATAGACCATCGAGCCACTGGGACGCGATCCAATGGTTCTTGAATTCTAACTTCTGCCAGTTCATGACATAGCGCGACCACTTCGCATTGTCTTCTTTGATGATTTACTGCTTCATCTTCGACCTGCTATACCCTACTGGTCACGACTTCCTACTAGAACCCCAGGTTAACTGCCTGAATAGGGCCAGTCGCTAGTGAGCCTCAGATTAATTTTCAAGTATTGGTTTTGTAGGGATTTTGTTTGATTGCATGGAGGATTTCACCATGAACCCTGGTGGGTGCGTACTGCTAAAGAGTCCCAAACCAGGAGGAAATAGCTGTCCAGTACTCCCAGGTTTTCCAGTGGTTCTCTAACTGATGTCAGCTCTTGGTGAAATCCTCCATGCAGTCAAACAAAATCCCTACAAAACCAATACTTGAAAATCAATAGATCTGTAAGTGATAAAATGCATAGATAACACTAAATTGAATATCAGATGAATTAAGAGATACATACAGTCTCTTTATGAATTTATAGATTTCGCATTTCATTTTTAGGGTAGTTATAGTGACTGAACTTGTTTCTTTTGTACCAAATGTTCTGACCGGTTTTAAGCCAATGTCTATGGCTTTTGCGTTTAGGAGTATTCTGTTGACTGACTTGATTCAACGTAGAACTTTGCAACGATGTGCAGCAGCAGATCGAGTCGCCACACTTCACTTAGCACACAGTGCAAGAAAAAAAAAGTAAAAATAGATTCAAAACAGAAATATGAGGCAAAAAGAATATTAATATGGAAGGACAACATAGTTCTTTTGGATATTGTAAGACAGAAGGAGTGGATGCATCTGCGCCAGTCATTGAGAATTATTTTGAGCCAGCCATATCACCAGTTGTCTCGAACCATTGGTTTTTAGATAAAGCAATAAGAAGACGTAATTTGTCTGAATCGTGTAATGTATTTGCGCAACACATTTCGAACAATCTGATCACACACGGACTTGTCATAGGAATATATATAAAAAATTAATAAAGAGGTAAGAGGTGAGAAAAATAGACTTAGGTCAAGTTAAAAGGACATACTCAAGGTCAAAATAAAAATGGAGACCACTAAACCAAATAGCAGAGGTAATAGTACATCTGCTATGGTATCAAAACAAAATTTACCAAAGAAGGTTTAATGTGATGACGAATTGCTTTTGAACGCATAAAGGTGGCTTGAACTTTCTAATTCCTAGGGCTTCTACAAACTTTAGGATACGCCCCAAACCCGTTTTATAGATAGGTTTAAAAGATCTGTTAACATCAATTTTATGACCTGTCTCTATAATATGTTTCGCAATAGAAGAGCTAGGTCTCCTGTTCTCACCGTTAATAGGTTCTGATGATTCCATGACAAGTCCGTGTGTGATCAGATTGTTCGAAATGTGTTGCGCAAATACATTACACGATTCAGACAAATTACGTCTTCTTATTGCTTTATCCATTGGTTTTTGTCGCCCCGAGGACCCCAACCAGTCAGGAAGTCTACACCTCCCGACTCGGCTGGCTTAAACTGACTGTTGTGGATTTCATTGACTGCTGAGACCATGTTTTGGTTTGACCACCACCAGCTCTTTTCCAACCTGATCTATCATGTGTCAGCTAACATTGCCTATTGTCGAGGAAGGCGATGACTAGGCATACGTAACAGATGTCATAACCGTCTTAATCGACGTAACTTCACAGCCTCGTCGATTGATGTCCCCTCCTTACCTAGCACTCGACCGAAGCCTAACCTCAATATTGCTCATCCTATCATACCACTTCACACGGGAGATACAACGCAGGTGTCTATGATCAAAGCTAGCCAATCTTTTCATGCCTTCCACTCTCAATGGCCATGTCTCATAACCATAAAGAAGGACAGAGCGATCTGCTGTGCTGAGCAGTACACGCGCCCTTTGGTCGACAGCCAGCCAGTCGGATATCATGTCGTCTATGCCAGAGACGGAGTAAGCTGACATATGCGAAACGAGCCTTCTGTGCGTTGGTGGCACAGTGGTTAGGACTCGCCAACCATGCACATGGTCCGGGGTTCGAGCCCACACCGACGCACACCTGATATCTATGGTCGGCCTGCAAAATTTGGGCTACCGATATCCACGCTGAAAATTCCATACCTGTACCAAAAATACAGTGTGGAATCAAGCTGTAATCAAAAATAAAAAAAATAAAAAAATAAATATTCTGTTACTAGTACGCCTATTTTGTATTTTACACGTACACCTATCACATATTCCTTTGATTATTATTCGTCAATTTGTTTTTTGTCTTTTTCTTAATAATAGGCACAATGGAATTACTTGTGTATGCAGATAAGGATGCAGATATTCCTCTTCAATGGGAGGAAACTGGTCCACAGTTTATTCCTGACTCTGAAGAGATTAAACTGAGATCGATTTCCACTACTCTGCATAGGGTAGAACATACAGTATCATATAAATGTGTAAACCCACAGCCAGCTTGAAATCAACTGAATTGGCCCTATTACTTCTTTTTTAATGAGATGAATATTTTATAAATATAATGTATATTTTGTGTATAGAATCTCGAATATGTTTGACTGTAAATTACATATCAGTCAGAAAATGGGTGTTCCAGTTTCGTGAATATTCCTCATACAATCCATTCTGTTCTCAAGTGAATTTAGCTTCAATCGCGAATTCTGATTTATTCTAGCAATATTACTTAGTGTAGTTAATTATTGGTTTTCTCTATATTGTTTTATATATATATATATATATATATATATATATATATATATGTATATGCGGTCTCGGTTACTTTAATTGGGTAATATACGAATCAGTGAATGATCGTTTGGTGGTGTAATAATCATAAGTAGAGGGAGGTACACTGAATGTTGTGTGTGTGTGTGGGGGGGGAGTTGACATGAGATACGAGGAGATGTGTTTACTACGCAGCGTAATGTGATAAGTTGTCGTCAAATCATATGTCTAGACTATTTGAAATCATGCATTCAACTAATAGCCTATGTAGAAGTTTTCTAGTGGATTATGCGCATTTATAACTGGGATTTAGTGAAATATAGAATTTCCTGGCTGCACTATTTTTTCACTTAATATTATTATTTATTATCATTGTTCCCCTGGGTTCCTAGTGGAACATAAGGCTGCACATCAACTGCACGTCTCCAATTGCTCCTGTCTCCTGCTGTGCTTTTCATCTGCATCCATGTTAGTCCATACTGTTTCAACTCCTCTCCACACGATCTCCTTCATGTCACCCTTGCACTGACGTCCCACTCGCCGCTTCCCTTTCGGGTTCCACCCGAGCAGTGACCTGACTGACGCGCGCTGTCACCCAACGGCCTCCTCGGTGAGTGTCCAATCCATCTCCACTTTCTCCTGCATATTTGTTGCGCGATTGGTTCTTGTTTTGTTTCTTCCCATAGTTTCTTGTTGGTGATTGTTTCCGGCCCGACCATCTGATTTTCACTATAGAGCGGAGACAGTTGTTGATAAAGGTTTGGAACAGGCTGTTGGAAATATACTTTGTGACCCGCCAAGTTTCTGATCCGCACTGGAGAACTGACTTGACGTTTGTATTGAAAATCCTACTGAATTTTGTTGTTGATGTGGCTGAGTGACGAAGATTTCCAGATTGGTTTCAGGTTGATGAATGTGTTTCTCGCCTTCCCGTTTCTCGCTCGATTTGACATCCTCGTCCGTTCCGACTGTCTGCAGTTGAGATAATGCTCCCTAGATAAGTGAATGAAGTAACCTCTTTCAAATCCCTCCCGTTGATGGTGATTGGCGCTGGATGTTGCTGCTGTTGTTGTTGTTGGCTGGTTATTTTCATAACCTCCGTCTTGTCTATGTTCACCTGGAGTCCTGCCTTCACCGGCGGCTTCTTCGACCAGTTTGTCGGTTTTCGCTTGTAAGTCTTCGATTGTGTGTGACATCAAACATAAATCATCCACGCGCGAAATCCAGGTCTTCTGGGTTCCTTACGTCGGTCCAGGATATGCTTGTCTGCTCGTTTCCCACTGTCTGACGCATAATCCAGTCAGTCCACCACAATTAGGAATATCATTCATTGGTGATAATAAGCCACCCTTGTCTGACTCCTGTGTTTACTCCAAACGCCTCGCTGTTTTCCGTTGTGGATGACTCGACATGTGCCGTTGCCATACAGCTGTTGAATAAGGTTGGTGAATATTTGGGCGCTGCACGCCGTAGTACTCGAGTAGTTTCCGAATTACTTCGCGGTCAACCCTGTCTGTTGAAGGCCCTCTCAAAGTCTATAAAGTTGAGATAGAGGTTTGATTGCCATTCCATGCTTTGTTCGATGATGATGCGTAGAGTTGCATTCTGGTTAGAACATGATTTGCCTTTCCTGAATCCAGCTTGTTCTGGTCGGAGTTCTGTATCCAGTGCGTCCTTTACTCTCTGCAGTATGATGCGACTCAGGATTTTACTTGGCGTCGACAGGAACATGATTCCTCGCCAGTTCTTGCAGACTGAGGCGTAAGTCTCCCTTATTTGGTAGTTTCACGAGGTAACTTTTCCTCCAGTCAGTAGGCACCTTTTCCTCCTTCGTTTCAGACATTTTGCAATAATGGAGTCAGCATGTCTGCTGTAGTCTCTGGGTCTGCTTTCAGTGCTTCAGGGGGTATTCCATCTGGTCTAGCTGCTTTTCCAGCTTTCAGAAGCTTTATTGCATTCAAGACTTCAGCTCTCGTTGGAGGATTGGTGTCGGCTTGCAGTTGTGTGCGCTGTTGTTGGTATTTCTGGACGAGTTGCAGGTGGTGGTCAGTTCAAGAGTCCTTTGAAATGATCCGCCCATTGTTTAATCTGTCTTTCTCCCTTGGTAATTGGGTTCCCTTGGCTGTCTTTTATAGGTTTCACTTGTGTTGATCTCTTCCTGGATAGAGACTTGGTTATCTGATATGATGTTCTCAGGTCCCTTTTGCCTGCTGCCTTCTCAGCTTCAGTGGCCAGGTTGTCATAGAATCGTCTTTTGTCCTTCCTAGCACTCTTCTTCACTTCTTTGTCCAATGCTGTGTAATTTGAGCTCAGCGTCTCTTTCTGTTGTCCGTCTTTGCATTGAATCATTTTCTCTTTCACCATTCTCCACTCCTCTATTAGCTTCCAAGTGTTTATTGTGAGCCATTCCTTGCCTTCCCTTTTCTTTCTTCCTAGAACCGTTGAACACGTTTCGTTAAAAATCACCTTCAGAGAGTTCCAGTGGTCTTCCACGCATGATTCTTCCATGATGTCACATAGTGTTTCCTGCTTTGCTCTGACATTTGCAGTGAAAGTGTCCTTTGTGGTTGTGCCTTTCAGTTTTTGAGTGTTGAACTTGCATTGTGGCTATCCTCAAGTCTTTTAGCTTCACCTTGAAAGTCCCTAGTACTTGATAGTGGTCTGAACCCACATCTACCCCTCTCCTCGATCTTGTGTCCAGTAGGCTCCGTCTCCACTTTCTTGAAATTGAAATGAAGTCTATCTGGTTTTTGGTGTGTCCATCTGGTGAAATCCATGTCACTTTGTGTATATCCTTGTTTCTGAACACACTCCTACCAATCACCAAATCATTGAAGGCGCAGAAGTCTGAGAAGAGTTCACCGTTGTCGTTCATTTCATCAAGAGCCTCTCGACCCATGGTGAGTTCTCTTCCTGTGTTGTCTCCTCCCAGCTTCGCATTCATATCACCCATCAGGATTTTGATATCACCGTTTGGGACGTTTCCCATTACTGTTTGTTATTGTCTGTTGAAATCCTCCTTCTTCTCTTGTTCTGAGATGTTTGTAAGCTCATAGCATTGAATGACTGTAACTTTCCTTCCTTTTGAGTTGAACCTAGCTGTCATTATCCTGGAGGATGTTGGTTCCAACTGCATGAGGGCTTTGGCAGCTGTTGGTGACATCATGATGACCACTCCCTCGGTGTGCTCGTGGTTGTCCTCTGGGTGATCTGAATAGATTACTGTCTCTCCAGTTGGTAGTTGGCACCTTCCAGATCCGTTCCATACTGCTCTCGCAGATTCCCAACACTTCTATTATAAATCTTCTCATTTCTGCGGCTACCCGAGCAGCCTTTCCAGTTTCGTACATTGTACGAACATTCCACGTTCCCATCCGTATTTTTTGCTTTCATCAAAAGAAGGGACATCGGCTGACGACTGGCTTCCCGAAGGCTTTCACCAGCCTGCGTCATTTCACTTCCCCGATTCCATCGAAAAATAAGGTTACTGTTTATATTTTTAGTATTTTCAATATATTTGTGCGTTGAAGTTTCTGTAGCGGTTTGGTTAGGTTTTTGGAGTGCAGTTGCTAGCACCACGCCCCAACCCTCCCCCTTTATCCGGGTTTGGGACCGGCTGGAAAACTAGGAAGCTGGTAGCCTAGCAAGCTAGTAATCTAGGCGAGGTTTTTCACTTAATATAATAATGATAATATAAAACTGTTAACAGATACAATTCTATAGACATAAGAAACTAATATGTGTAGATATCAGGTAGGCAGAAAAACAGAGAGGGGGATTATGTCAAGTTTCTTTTACCGATTCTAATGTATCTGTGGTCACAACACACATGCGAGTAGGACCCATCAGCTTCTGGAGGTAAAATAGCTTTGTCGTTCAGTCTGCTATGTATACATGCTCAGATGTGTTCGTGAGCGGAGTCTACACAGATGTTATAGAAGGAATGGAAGTCTCTTATTAACCCTTTCCATCGATAGCTGATGGTCACGTGATCTATTTTAGTCTATGGTTGATTTGACGACGGAGGCGTCCAGGTAAGACACTGCCTCTCCTTATGTTTGAAATTAATTCTAATGGTGAATAGGTGATTGATTATCCCAACATAACTGTAGAAAGTGATCACCGTTGTCGATTCGTCAGCATGGGACTACATGAATACCACTAATATGCTTTTCCGACTGGCACAGCTTCCCTATTTAGGCATTAAAATCATCAGTTAAAATGACTGTATCCGGGCGTTTTGCTTTAAGCAGTAATCTAGACAGCCTATGGAGTGACATTCCTTACTTCATGGTTGATGGTCAGGTAAATACATTGGCTGTTGTCGCAGTCTTTCTGTCGTCTAAAGGATGCGTTTCGCCGGGCAGCACATAAAAGACTATCCACTGGGATTTGGTCAGTTAGGGATTTCTCCACTGCTCTGTCCCTAAATGAGGTTGCTAAGGCTGTCACAAGTCTGAAACGAGGCAAGCAGCAGGATCTGATGGAATGATTTCAGAGGTAGTTAACTACGGTGGAAACAGTTTACAGTCTGTGTTAACTAAGGTACTAGAAATCGTTTGGGAATCAGAGGAAGTCCTGTCAGGTTGGTGTAAGTCGCTGATTATCCCCATATACAAGAAGGGAGACAAGTCTTCCTGTGGAAATCACAGGGCCATTAGCTTGACTAATATAGTATCTAAAGTCTTAAGCTCAATAATCATGCGTAGACTAAGCGGTGCTCGTGAGGAAGAAACACGAGAGAACCAGACAGGCTTTAGACCAGGAAAAGAGTGTATTGATCATATTTTCACCCTTTGACAGATTCTGCAACACTGGTGGCATACCTATCGGCGTCCAACAATCGTTATATTTCTTGAGCTGAAGGCGTCATTCGGTTCTGTCGATCGGGAGGTACTATGGCGATGTTTGGCTGTGAAAAAATGGCGAGAAAATGCATTGCACTGTTCAAGGCATTCACTACTCGCACTCATACAGTCAGCCAGGTGAGAGCTTACGGGGAGTTGTCATCGGAACTGGTGACAACTAGTGGTGTCCGACAGGGATGCCCACTGCCCCTATTTCTATTCCATTTCATCATAGAAGCGCTAGTAGAATTAACCCTATCTCACTTCAGAGACTCAGGGATTGACTTGTTACCACTAGGGAATAATCTCGCTGACTTACAATATGCAGGTGATACAGTCCTTCTAGGTGAAGACGCTGACAAAATGCAGAGTCTTCTGAACACCTTTAGCTGCAATCTGGAAATGTTTGGCATGCGATTCGTTCCTGTCAAACGTAAGATGATGTTACAGGACTTAACTACATTGACTCCTAGCTTAGAAATAATGAGTGAAGTGGTTGGTGGAGCGTGTTGACCACTTCGACCAGTCAGTCAGTCACCCTAGCACTGAATACGATCCTTTCAGCTGTAAGTTCTCTCGGACTACCTAGGGGAAATTTTTGAAATTCTACTCGGTGGCTAGGTGGGTGTTTTATGCATGTGTCCGAAACATAACATACATGTGTGGCTCGAGATGAGGCCTACTTTTGGATACGGCAAGGAGTCCTAACTTTGAAGACTCTCATATGATGTTTACAGCGTGATTTTAGAAGACTAGTGTTTTTGCTGCTCTGGTTGCTATTGGTGGTCTTAGAGTTGAGATCAGGTGAGCGACGTAACTGTAGAATCGTGTTAAGAGTGGGAGGGAAGCGGGAAGGTGGTGATGGAGATGAGGGTGGGTGTTGGTGGTTAATACTCCTGAACTGTGCACACTATGAGTGTTGATTTCTCGTTGAGAGGACTGAGACAGAAGGAGTATTATTGCTGTGTGACCACAGAGCCAGAGCTGGAGAGACAACTGTTTGAGGCTGACCCCACACGTCCTGTTTAATTTGGTTTTCTGAGTTGTTCCCGTAATAAGAGTTTTCTCCTGGCTGCGTATGATTGCAGAGAAGTATTCTCGGAGTGGATCTTTTGTACTCACTTTCCAGAGCTAAGCAGCAACATGAGTAGTTTATTGGTCATCTGTTTTCTACCTTTATACGCGTTTATCTTTAGACCCTCAAAGAAGTGTCAGCGACTTGCTCCATGTTGGTGATTGGTTTTATTCTGACTGCCATCCAAGGTTTTTTCTGGCATCATGGGACCTGTAGGAACATTAGTTCGAGCCATTGTAACGTGTTGGATCATTGCTATGAGGTAGTCTGACCACCATGTCAGAGTATAGCAGTTATCGTTTGGGTGTTTTTATACTGTGGTTTAATAACTATTATGGCGATAATTCAACTTCTGAATAAGTGAAGCGATAGAAAGATTCAACTACTCAATTCCCGATCCTTTAAGTAAGAGTCAGTATAGATCAGAAGACAGAAGGATACATGAGAGTGTGGAAAACAGATATACTAACACAACAAAGAAAGGAGATTTTCAGAATCTGATTGATGATCAGTGAATATATCTGCTCAGTTGTCAACTATTTTGAGCCATGTCACCAGCAATTGAACCTTAGTATTCGAAGTACACCGGCCACGCCGGCTACACTTTTGTATGTGACTCAGACCAACAGTTAAAGACTCTATAGACTGATGCCCAGTTTCCATCTGGCTATATCAAAACCTTTTCAAACATAGTCTTGCTTCAGTTAACATTGACTGTCGAGGCAGCATGTGTAACATATGTTGTAGCCATTTCAGCCACAGAAGCTTCATAGTCTCAGCCTTGACCTTTCGTGATTTGGCAAACTCATCTTGCCTCTTCTTTCTCCTGCTCATCCTACGAAAGCCTACCAGGTAGCCAAAGAAATGCAAAGTTATGGCTTAGAAGTACTGGGTATCGGCGAAAGCAGATGGAATAAATGGGGATTGACAACACTGTCAACTGGAAAGTCAGTAATCTTCTCCTCTCTGATCACCCAGACGACTAACACGAACACACTGAGGCAGTGAGTGAGTGAGTGGCTATCACGATGTCACCAGTGGGAGCCAGACACCTAATGCAGTGAGAAGCAATCATCTCGTCCACGGTCAGGACAGCAAGATTCAACTCCAACGGCTGGAAGGGAGGTCACAATAATCCAGTGCTACGCATACGGCTACAAACAACGCGGGACAAGAGGAGAAGGAGGATTTTTACAGACAACTACAAACAGTAACATCAGAATCCTCATGAGCGATATGAATGGCAGCCAAACTGGGAGCAGATAATGCGGGAAGAGGACTCATCATGGGTCGAGAGGCTCTGGCTCGGCGATATGAATAAGAACGGAGAATTATTCGCCGGCTTCTGATCTCTTAACGATTTGGTGGTTGGAAGCAGCGTAGGTAAAAGGCGCCACAGGTCAACCCGTATCCGGGAAGAGATCAACCCAGATACTGAAACCAATAAGAGATGCTTAAGGGAACCTGAATACCAAGAACGAGAAACAGATAAAACAATGAGCTGATCACTCCAAAAGACTCTTGAATCAACCATCGCCTACAACTCTCCCAGAAACACACCACCACCAACAGTACTCACGGGACTGCCCGGCAGTGGATACCAATCCTCCAGCGAAGGCAGACATTCTGAATATGATCAAGCTTCTAAAGTTAGGTTAGGAAGGCGGAGGGGCCAGACGGAATTTCCCTGTTCCCGGAAGCACTGGGAGAAGATCCGAAGACTGTGTCAGATGTGCTCACGCCATTATTCGTAAGGTTTGGAAGGAGGGAAAGGCGTCTACCGAATAGAAGAAAGGCTAGCTACCTCGTGAAGCTACGGAAGAAGGGCGACTTACGCTTCCCTCTTCGAGAATTGACTGGCGTACAACAATGCTCTCCGTCACTCCAAGTAAAATATTAAGTCGCATCATCCTGGAGAGAATAGAGTATGTACTGGATACAGAACTCCACAAGCCCCACTCGAACAAGCTGGCTGGATTCAGGAAAAGCAAACCAGTTGCTGATCAAATTTCAATTCTACGCATCGTCATCACAAATCAAAGCATAGAATCCCAGTCAAACCACTACCTCAACTTCCTTCGTCCACTTCGAAACGGCCTTCACCAGAAAGCACATCGTTGACAGAGAAGTAATTTGGAAACTACTTCAACACCATGGTGTGTAGTTCCCAGTCTTTATCAACCTCATCCAACAGCTGGCTGGCTATATGACAATGCCTGTCACGTGTCAGTCAGGTGATCCACGACGGTAAACTCACTCAGCGAGGCGTTGGAAGTGAACACAGAAGTAAGACAAGCTGGCTGGCTTCCTATTATCACCCACGATGATATTCTTAATTAAAGGTGGACCAGATCATGCGTCAGACTCTACGTTGGGAGTGAGAAGATAGGAATATGCTGGACCACCGACAGTAAGACTCTAGAAGTTGTGGATTCAGCGCGTAGATGATATGTGTCTAGTGTCACACAAACTCGAACACTTACAAGCGGAAACCAACAAACTGGCTTAAGAAGCAGGCAGTCACCGAAGACAGGACGACATCCAGGTGAACTTTAGGAAGACGAAGGTGATGAAGATAACCAACCAACCAACCAAAAGCAACAACAACCAGAACCAATCACCATCAACGGCAGAGATCGTGAGGTCAGAGGTCACCTCCTTCACTTAACCAGCCAGGAAGCATCGTTTCAACCTCAATAATTCGGAACGGATGAAGATGTCAAAGTCAACCAGCCAGCCAGCCAGAATCGGAAAGGCGAGATATGCGCTCCTTCGTCAACCTGAAACCAGTTTGGAAAGCTTCTGTACTCCGCTTCAGTATGAAGAACAAGAATCGGATTTTCAACACAAATGTCAATGAAGTCAATCAGTCATCTCTTCCATACGGATCAGAAACTTGCACTGAGTGTCACGGAAAGGATTTCCGACACACCACTGTAGACTTTTGTCAACAGCTACCACCTTCGCTGGCTGGCTAGCTGGCCGCATGCTTAAGGTTAAATGGCTGGCCGGCCGGCCGGCCGGAAAAATTAGCAGGAAGAAACTCTGGCTGGGAACAAACCAACCAAGAGCCAACCGATCAACAAAATATGTGGGAGAAGATGCAGATGGACCGGGCATATTCTACTGAGGAGGTCGCTGAATGACATGATGCGCCAGACTATGCCTCGAGTCGAATCCCAGTAAGAAGCGGAGAGTGGGTTGACGGTGCGAGGGTGACACGGAGATCGTGCGAGTTGGAGGACATGAGAGATTATGAGTAGTTTTGGTCCAATCTGAAGGGAACAGCATCGAATAGAATAAGGTGGATATGTGCTGTTGAAGCTGTATGTTCCCTTTCGGAACCCAAGGGAAGAATAACAATATAATATGATATACATTCGAAGGCTATCCTTTGGTGAAGAAATACCGTAAGTGTAAGCTGCCGACTATCCCATATGACTCGTCTTATGGAAGGGTTGACGTTCAAAGGATTAACTGTCATCTCACTTTGAAACCTGCTTGTTTCACCTAAAGTGTTTATTGCACAACTCTAATGAATCATCCTATTATTTATGACGATTGGAACTTATGCACTGCATCAATTAATCTCGTTCTGCTTCTTCTAACCTGAAATTAATATTAGTGCTTCTTTGTTCCTTTGCGTTTCTAGTGGAACATGGGGTTTATCAATGAAGTCTCAGTAGCAGTGGCTTTATTTTTTATGGGAAGAAGTCGCTGGTCTCACGCTTATACCACCTTCTTTACCGGTGCTAATACTAGCTATGCGAGTTTAAGAATTCCAGCTTTATTAAACTATCTTGGATGATTACACGCTGATCATTATACTTTGTGGTCTGTTAAAGACAATAACTGGAAATCGCGAAATCCTTTAAAATTATCGGTAGACAAACAGCTCTCTCGTCCTCAAGTTTGTCGAAGCAGTTTCTGTCAAACGCTTGAAACCCGTTCTATGTGTTCAAAAAGAAGCAGTTATCAGTCTTTCCTCGCTCTGGTAATTGGATGTCTTTATTCTCTCTTCCATTTGATTACGTAATCTTTTGCTTTAACCTTGCTCCTTTGATATAGAGTAATTTTGCTTTTCTCTTGTAGCCATGCTTTTAGTTGAACTCAGTACATTGTTACCTAATTTGTTAGTCACTCATCATCTTACGCGTCTCTCGTCTCTATTGGGTAACTCCTTTTCAATTGTACGTATGCATTTACTTTTTTTAAACTGTAATTGCCTGTGTATAAACTATATAAGCGTAATTTCCTGAGCACTGTTCACTAATTTCGGTACCTCCTATACTGACATCACGTGAAATTTGCAAGTATGTTGGCACTTTTCTGTACATAAACTTAATTTGTCTACACTTTAAGCAGCTGATCAGAAGCCAACGAAATAAATGATGGTATCATTCCATTATGGGTAAATTTTGTTTTGATAAAGTCTCACAGTGTTATACAGCAATGTTTATATCATAGTTTTGAAGTTGTTTCAAAGTCAATTTGCAGCTGATCAGAAGCCAACGAAATAAATGATGGTATCATTCCATTATGGGTAAATTTTGTTTTGATAAAGTCTCACAGTGTTATACAGCAATGTTTATATCATAGTTTTGAAGTTGTTTCAAAGTCAATTTGCGGTCAACTTTATTTAATGCTTTTTCAAAATCGATGAAATTGATGTAGGGATTTGACTGCCTTTATGCGCTCTTTTCGATTATGATGCGTTGAGTTGTGATATGGTCGACACATGATTTGCTTTTCCTGAATTTAGTTTTTCCCTGGCTCAGTTCTGCATCCACTGCATCTTTTGGTCTTTCCAGGATGAGGTGACTTAGTGTTTCACTTGATGCGAACAAGAGCATAATTCCGTGCCAGTTCTCGCAGAGGCCTAGGCTGCTCTTTTTTGGTAGTTTGACAAGGTAGCCTTTCTTCCAATCCACAGTTACTTCACCTTCCCTCCAAACTCTTTGCAATAGTGGCGTCAGCATATCCACTGAGATCTTTAATTTCGTTTTCAGTGCTTCTGGAGGAATCCCATCCGGTCCTGCTGTCTCCCCTTTTGTCAGTAACTTGGATGCATTTGATACCTCTACTTTTGCTGGAGGACTAGTATCCACTGGCAGTTTTGTAGTTGTTGGTAGTGTTTCTGGACAAGTTCAAGGTAACGATTGGTTCAGGAGTCCTTTGAAGTAATCAGCGTATTGTTTTCATTGTTTCTTCCCTCAGATAATTAAGTTCCGTCGACCATCACTTATTGGTTTCATCTGTGTTCATCCAATACTGGACATAGAAATGGTTATCTGATATAGTATTCTAAGATATTTTTTGCTGTTAATCGAGAAGTTGTGACCAGTATGGTGCAGCAGGTCGGGTATGAGGACAAATACCCGCCGAAGACATTGGCTAGGGGTCGCGCTATGTCGTGAATTGACAGAAGTTAGAATTCATGGGCCATTGGATCGGTTCCCAGTGACTTAATAATATACGGGGTCGCCTTGTAATCGGAAGGTCCTGGGTCCGAATCCCAGCGAGTGTATACTGCTGGAAAGTCCCAAACTAGGACGAAACAGGTATCCAGTACTCCCAGATTTTCCAATGGTTCTCTAACCAATGTCAGCTCATGATGAAATCCTGTAACCAAAAAATAAATGCTTTTACTTCGAGTCCCTCAGTAAGTTGGCGATTTCCTAAATGATGACATAAAACAGATAGAAGAAGCTGTGGTGTTGAATAACTATCCCATAAAATTTATTAGGAAGATCAGTAAAGGCCAAAAACAAAATAAAAATAATTGTGGAACTAGTAATAATAACATAAACAGGAGAGAATATAAGTCACCCACTGTTATATCATATAAGGAAAGGACATCTGAAACCCTACGTAGGATTCTAAATAAAGCAGGAATTGGGGTGTCATTCAAACCTACAAACTCACTCAGGGACAAGCTCTGTAGGCTAAAGGACACTGTCAGTTGACCCAATTAGACAAAATAATATAATTCACAAAATACTCTGCAATGACTGTGGGTAGGGTCAACTACATAGGTCATACTAGTAGGTCAGGGGTAGTCAGATTGTCAGAACTTAACGATTTAGCTAAGGTAAGAATGGTTGACCCCGAGAAGATAAGTAATTTAAAAGAAAGCTCAGCAATTGCAATGGATGCATTAACACACAGTCACACAATAGGATGAGTGGGAGAGGGTTGAAATTCTAAAAAGTAATCTAGATAGGTGGAGAGAGAGGTTGATTACTGAATCCTTGTTCATCGAGTCTACACCCAACACGTGCAATGTGAATGACTCATCACTCATGCCGGAAATATGGAAAATACTATTACCAATTAAATCAAGTGAAAAATAATGGAACTATATAAATGAAGTTGGGAAGTCGTGTGAGTAACTTGATATGATTATGAGCAATAAATTGTGCTCGAAGCGTCATCAGTAAACATTACTGTATAATACTGTGAGACTTTATCAAAACAAAATTTACCCATAATGGAATTACACTCTACTACAGTGCACAAGTTTTATTCTTATAAAAATGTTGGTATCATATTATTCTGCACAAACCACTGTTGTTCTTTCTTTATTCAAATTCCCATCCAGGCATTAATGAAAACAAATCACGTAGTTCAGGGAAGAGTCTTTAAAAATTGACGGATATCTCGTTCAGCAACTTCTAATTAATTTATTCTCGCGTACCAAAGACAAAGCAAAAGCCAATATTTGATCGTCCAAACTACGTGATATATTTAGGGACCAAAACAAGCCGTTAGACGAACGCTTAGCTAGCTAGTGATCGTGCACGTGACACGACGGGGTACCAAATGGCGGGGATGCTTGACCGGAAGCCTTCAGCTAAACAAGTCGACTTAAACAGTGGTGGTCAGCATCCAATGAGTGATTGCTGTGGTCAATAATTTTGGGGAATTATTTACCGCTACAGCTCACTCCCCCCTAGTGGGGTCGTGAGGACCCTAAGACAGAACCAGCCGGAAGTAAAAAAACTCGATGGTTCCCTTTCGGGTGAAAAAAATCTTCCGAGCGGCTTGGTCGTATGCCTACTGGTTTGTCTGCCTATGCTAATAGGGTGTTTGTACATAGCTTCCTTGTTGTTGTTCGTTGGATTCCGTGCTTCGTTTGTTTCCTGTCCAGTGCCCGTCGCACCTGGAAAAGAAAACAAGAACGCTAAGAACCATGTCGAGGAAAATGTACGAAATGAGCTTTTTGGTTAAAAAAAATTATGTGCATTTACTATACAGTAAAATAATGCTAAGTTCAGAACATCGAAAAAAATACATCTAATTAATTTTTTTGTGTATGTTACATGAACTGTTGAAAAAAAATTTTTGTGTTCGGTGGTACTGTATATAAAAAAAATTGATACGTCAAAAAAAATAGTTAGTACCACAAACGAATGAGTTGCGTGAATCACACGAATTCGTTAAGTCAAATAAGTGTGCAGATATTCTGGGAACCTTACGGTGCGTCCAGAACGGGTTTTCTTGGGAGGCTCGATAGAAGGTTCGGTAGCTGTCGCTGTGCTAGTGACTTCATCGATGTCTAAACGATCTTCTGTTACTTGTGGATTTTGGGGTACGTTGAGCTCTATGCTAATAGGATTACCCTCCAAGTAAGCCGGTTTCAGACGGTCAATGCTGACGGTGTCCTCGCGGCCGTTTTTGTCCAAGACAAAGAATTTATCAGAACGTTTAATTACCTTATAAGGTCCGTCGTATGGGGGTTCCAGGGGTCTGCGCACAGAGTCGCGACGAACAAATACATGTGAAGAAGTTTTCAAACACGGATGAACGAAAACATCAATGGACTGTGGACGAAGGGGAGCAGGTTTAACTGAACGCATTGCGTTTGTAAGCCTGCTGACGTATGAAGCGTGATCTACCACTGGTGGGAAGCTCGAGGGAGAAACAAATTCACCAGGCAGTCGCAGTGTCGTGCCATATACTAGCTCGGCGCTAGTACAACCAGCATCGGTTTTCAAGGCGTTTCGTATCCCTAGGAGAACTAACGGAAGGGATTCAGTCCAATGGGTGGTGTTTGCAGCTGACAGACCAGCTTTCAGCTGTCTGTGTAGACGTTCTACCATACCATTAGCTTGAGGATGGTAGGCTGTTGTTCGAAATCGCATGCAACCTATGATTTTAGTCAGGGCGAAGAATAAGCCACTTTCGAATTGCCGCCCGCGATCAGTTGTTATGGAAGATGGGCATCCAAAGTTAGCGATCCATCTTTCTACGAAGACGCGTGCGACTGTTTCAGCAGATACATCCTTGATGGGTACTGCTTCCGGCCATCGTGTGAATCGATCGATGCAAGTTAAAATATAAGTATATCCATGTGATTCAGGAAGGGGTCCAACCAAATCTATATGGACGTGTTCGAAACGAGCGTCAGGGAGAAGAAAGGTGCCAAGTGGGCTTTTGGTGTGTCTTATCACCTTGCACTTTTGACAAGCTAAGCACGTGTGTGCCCATTCCCTTACTTCTTTATTAATGCCAGGCCAACAAAACCGACTAGTTACGAGCTTGACAGTAGTTCGAATACCTGGGTGAGATAAGCCATGCAACGTATTGAAGACGTTACGGCGATAACTTTTAGGCACGATGGGGCGAGGAGTACTCGTGGAAATGTCACATAGAATAGTATCTCTTCCCATACCTAAGGGTTTCTCAGCTAATTGTAGAGTTGTTTTCGACAACTCATGTTGAAGCTCGGTATCTTCTTTTTGAAGACGAGCCAGTTTTACAAGGTCTATGCCGTCGATTTGGGTGAGGGAACAAACGCGCGACAAGGCATCTGCCACAGTGTTGTTTACTCCGGATACATGGCGAATATCTGATGTAAACTGTGAGACGTAATCCAGTTGTCGTGATTCCCTGGGTGAATACTTATCTGAAGGTGAGTTCAGAGAGTACGTCAGAGGTTTGTGATCCGTAAAAATTATGAATTCACGACCCTCTACCGAATGTCTAAAATGTCGTATAGCACAGTACATAGCCAGAAGTTCTCTGCCGAATGTGCTGTACTTCGTTTCAGCTAATTGAAGGCGCCTGGAGAAAAAGGCAAGTGGTTGCCACTCATTGTCAACTAGCTGTTGTAGAACTGCGCCGATTGCAGTGTTTGATGCATCAACCGAGATACTTAACGGTGCCGTTGGATCCTGATACATCAGAAGTGTGGCATTCGCAATAGCTTTTTTAATCTGGGTAAAAGCATTTCGAGCAGACGCGTCAAGTTCTATGGACTTGTTATTCCCTCGAAGGAGGTCTGTCAATGGCTGAATCAAAGAGGCACAGTTGGGAATAAAGCGTCGATAATAACTTACTAAGCCGTTAAAAGTGCGGAGACTTTTCACCGTCTGTGGCTCTGGAAAGTTCAGTATAGCC